AACAAGATTATACTGTATAGCACAGGGAAATATATACAAGATCTTATGGTAGCTCACAGAGAAAAAAATGTGACAATGGATATACACATGTTCATGTATAACTGAAAAATTGTGCTCTACACTGGAATTTGACACATTGTAAAATGATTATAAATCAATAAAAAATTTTTAAAAAATGTTGAGTTGTGATTTCCTGACTATAACCAATTACTATACATCAATAGTTCTAAGATTTTTTAAATGATTTCATAAAGCATGTTGTTAATTAGGAAAATGTTTCATTTTAGCAATTTTTATTTCACTCAAAGTTTTTTTAAATATACTTTTACACATATGTAGCCATACTTGGAAAGACATGAGTAAATGAATTTGCTCTGTACAGATTTGTGTGAAAACAGCTCCTTATGATTATTTTTTCTAGGTTTAAAATGATAGAAATTTTACCTGAACATTTTGTTTCCATTGAAAATAAAAGAAATCGTAACTACAATGATCACCAGAATTCCCATTAAGAAAGAAACAACATTTGCATGTTGCTTACAAATTGGGTGAATAGGGCAGAAGGTTAGGCTTGAAGAGAACCTGAACGTGAACTAAGCAGTTCCATGCACAAGAAAGGAAGAAAGGAAGAGATTTCGTTTCTTCTGAGGCCTTTCTCTGGCTGCAGGTGGCCCCTCTCACTGTGTCCTCACATGGTCTTTCCTCCTTGCACACAAACCCCTGATGTCTCTCTGTGTGTCCAAATTTCCTCCCCTTATAAAGTCTGATTGGATTAGGAGCTACCCTAATGGGCTCATTGTAACATAATTGCCTCTTTAGAGTCCCTATGTCTAAAGCATTCTCTGAGATATAGGGGTTAGGGTTTCAATATCTGGATTCTGAGGGGTTACAGTTCAGCCCATAATATTATCATTACATTTGTGTATTTTATTTGTCCTACCTCTTCCATATTTTTCCTCTCCCTCCTTGCCTTCTGTTTCATTGATCGATCACTTGTCCTCATTTTATTGTTTCCTCTTATAATTTAAAGGTGATTTACACTATCTCCTGTAGTGACCCTTCATTTATACATACATAGCTATCAAATTCTAAAATCAATCAACATAGCTGCCCTCATTCTAAAAAATTTAGACATTCCAACTTTAATTATAACTCCTTCCAAACATACATGTTAATGTTAATAAAAACAAATATAATTTAGACATACTATTCTTTTTATTACAGAGGATATTATTTTATACATTCAGTATGTGTTTATATTTAGGTAAATGTATTTATTATATTCTATCCTATTCTTTATCTCTTCTTTTCTTTCTTATCATTTTATTTTTTAGCTCTAACCTTCCAGCTGGAGTCACTTTCTTTTGCCTGAAGTACATCCTACAGAATTTATTTGGGCAAGAGTCTGTTGTTAGCCAAGTCTCTCATTTTGCAGGGGTCTGAAAATATCTACATTTTGCTCAGTACAAAAGTGTTTTCCCTGGATGTATAATTCTGGAATGATGCTTTTTTCTGGACACATTAAAAGGTTTTTATCCTTTTTTGTTTGTCTGTTTCTCAGCTTTATGTTGCGGCAGTAAGTCCTGTTAGTCTATCTGAAAGGCTGGGTTTGGTTTCCTGTCACTCCCACCCTGACATGGTCATGAAGCCCTTGCTGAGATTCCTTGAGGTTGGGCAAATGTCTTCAAGGCAAAGATGACTTTAGGGTTCTGCTTTCCTCTCTGGGCTCCTGCTTTCACTTAGTTTTTGGACTCTGAGTATTCATCCTTTTCTTGCCAGTGCATCAATGCATGGTACAAGTTGTTTTTTGATTTTCTCCACAATTTGCATTTGTTTTCAGAAAGAGAGTCAGTTAAAATATCTGGTATGCCATTCTGCTGGAAAAATTAGGCTGGTCCATCTCTCATTTAAAGAAAGAGAGAGACAGAAACAGACAAAAACAGAGACAGAGAGAGACAGAGGAACTTTCTTTTGTAAGTAGAGTTCCATTTTGAAAATAGAGGATTTATTTTGGAACTTTTTTCCCTCTCTCTGTCCCTGCGTGGCTTGCCTAACATCAATAGCAGCCCTGATGGAATAAAGATTACAAGCACCTTTCGGACTGCAATATGAAATATTGATAGCTCATGATAGCTCATGGACTAGTTTAAGGAAGGGTAGCAATGCTAGTTATTGGTGAGGGTCTCAAGAAGTCTCTCTGTGTTACTATCCCTTTAGTTTTTTGTGCTGTAAAAACTATAAACTAAGTAACTAAAAGCATGGAGAAGTCTATAAATTTAACTGGGATTATGTAGGGGAGTGAGAGGGACTAAAGACTGAGTCTATATAAAATTGAGCACAGGAATAGCAATGCACGTTAATTCCTCCAGCCTATCTGTGGGAAATATCACTAATCCATCACAGCACTCCTTCTCCCTGAGCTTAGAAAGTACCTCAGAATCCTTTTTAGCGCAGTATTCTCAGCACCCAGTGCCTTACCAGAGTAGGCTAGAAGATGAAACATCAGCAGAATAACAAATATTTGTAAATTGTGTATCCATTCTTCCATTTTTCAGTTGGCGTATTGTTAGTATGTTTTTGTAAGTGTAGCAGGGAAAATAAGTATTTCAGTTTTCTAACTTCACCCTTTTGGAGGCTCTGCTATCTAAGATAACCCATATTAGTGTTTCATGTAATTGACTATACAGTGACCCAACAAGTAACAATCCAGTGATTGCTTGAGAGGAAAAGGAAGGCTTGTATACAGGTTCTTCCAGATTTAGAACTTTGCTGTGAAATTCTACACTTTGATCTAGATTTGGAAATGAATACATTAAGAGCTTTTCCAATTACAAGTAGGGTTTTTCCCCTCTTTTTTCCTTCCCTCTAGAGTTTGAGATCTATGTCTATTGGCTTGACAGGGGAGTGACTACAGTTCCTCATTTATATCACATTGTTTCCACTTCAGGGCTTTTTTTACTAGCTGTCTCTTTTGCCTGGTAGACTGCTATTCTAGATATTACCATGGCTTCCCTCTTCTCAGCCTTCAAGTCTTAGCTTGAGTGTGATCTCCTCAAGATATTTTCTGATCACTCTGCCTAAAGTAGCCTTCACTGCCACCAACTCCTTCTCTAGACAACCATTTTGTGTATTTGCTTTATGACATTTATCCCTCACTATAAGTATTGTTTTCTTTTCATGTCTGTTGTCTGTCTCCACTTAGCTCAACATAACTTCTGAGAGATCAGGACCTTTACTGTTTATCACTGTATCTTTGGCACCTACAACAATGTCTACATGCAGTAGCTGCTCAATGATATTTGTGGGGAAATTAAAACTTTCTGTATAGTTTTGACCTATGGAATTAATTTTTTAAAGAAATTTTAATTTGTAAAGAGATTTTAAATTTGTAAAGTCATTTTTTGACTCTTATGATAATAAAAAGAAAGGACCCAACTTCTGTCTATAACAGAAACTATATAGGTGTTCAAATGGAAAAGGAATGTAGTGATTAGAAGGACAAACACGTAAGCCTGGGTTTTATCCAGGTTTTTCAGTTTACTAAAGGTTGTGTGTGAGATACTCAACCTCTCTGTTCCTCAGATTTTTAATTTACAAAATGATGACAAAGAGAAGACAATGGGGTTGAAGAAAAAGTAAATAAATGAATGTATTATAAACACTGAAAATAACGTCTGCCTTAAGGAAGATGTCTATGAATTATTTATTGATATTGTTATATAAAATTATTGTAAGTACACATTATATACATGTCGAATTAGCTTTTCATAAATTTTCTCATCTGTCAGGAGAAAATAATAGTACTACTTCATAGGATCATTGTAAGGGTGAAATGTAAAGCACTTAGTATAGTATATGGCACATGTATCACTCGATAACTATAACTTTTATTACTATATAAAATTTACTCAAATGACTTGTATTCATTTACTCTCTCCTTTCTCTGTTTTTCTGTGTTGCCAGTCCGTGATCTTTATTCGTGACAGAAATTCTCATGGGCAGGAGGTGTCAGGATACATCGACTATGCCCACAGGCTAAAGACTGAAGATTTTGAAGTCTACTTTAGTGGGAAAAAAAGACTTCTTCCAAGACCCACGGATATGAGGTAAATTGTACACGTTTCTCACACCTTCAATGAGAACAAGCTCCTCGGATGTAAAGATAAAAAATTTTTATTTTATGTTCTGCATTGTACCTGGAATGCTCATGTATATGCAGTAGGAAAGTGGTAAGAGTGGTTTAGATTTTAAAAAATATACGTTTTAAGACGGAGAATAAACATAGATGCATTTTTTTCCATGAACAACCTGAGGAAGGGAATTCAGAGATGAGATAAGTAAATTCTCCTTAACATTCCTTTTAAATGATAAGTAGAACGTAAAAATTGCTACTCTCATAAGGCTCTTGCACCACTTGGGGCTCTGTCAAGAAGCAGTCCATCCAGCACATTCTCCTCTCCCTTTTTTTTTTGGCCACCAACTGAAGTCTGGGCTTCTGACTGGCTCACCCTCATTTACTCTCATCACTGGCCTGTTCTGGGATCCCCTCCACCCACAGTAGTCTTTTTATTATTGACCCCAACCCTTTCCTTTTGAGCCTTTATTCCATCACATAGGATCTACTCTACCATGTCAGTCTATTTACAGATCCCAATACTTCCACCAGCTTTTGAATAGCTCTCCAGTTAACCTTTTTTCCTGCTGTCTCTCACTTATCAGAGAACATAGAAGCAGTAGCAGCATTCTGCTTTAACTCTCCACTGCTCTGCCCAGATCATTATTTGACCCCTATGACAACACTCAATTCCTCTGACGCCCCTGCCGTCTTCCATCCATCCTTATTTTATTATCTAAAGACTTCCTAACCATTTCTTGGATGTACCCCTTTTTCTGTTCAACCTAGATGCAGAACAAATCATTTAATTTCCCTCTTGCAATCATCCCTGCTGCCCATGTCTTTTTGTGCTTTGGTTGTAATCTATCCTGCTCACCCTTAGATTGACCCAGTCACCCTCTACCTGCCTCTAGGACTGGACCCCCGGGCACGGCTGAAGGAAGTTTTAGGAAATTTCACAAAGTTGGCTGCTACTAATAATTAATGGTCTCCAAACTCAGCCAGGACCTTTCTGGCCCTCAGACACCCATTTATGTGCTTTTTATCAGTCCTTAATTTCACCCCTCAACACACACACACAAAATATTCTGGAGCTTCACCACTCCCTCAAAATCATTGTTCTCAACTGCTGACCCTGACTCCTGTCCATATACAATTTACCTCACATTTCACAGAGAACGTGGGGTCTAAACATGGGAACCACCACCACAGTCTGTCTGTCTGTCCACTGAAATCAGCTTCCTCATTAGCCAGTGCCCCACTTAGAGTGCCTTCTGATTATTTCCAGTCACAGTTCCATTCTGGCAGCTGTTGGTCCCAGGCCTGCCATCTACGTCAGGACATGTCTGCTCCTAACCCTTGGAACACCACCGTGCTGTCTTGTACCTCAGCCCACCTCTCAGGGGCCCAGTTTGCTGCAAACTTGTACATATTCCTCCAACACAGCAAAGCATAGGCTTCCTCAGTAACCATGAGGGAATATGTCCTAAGAGTGACTCGGGCTTCTCTGGTGACATTTCTGAAATAAAACAAATCTGACCCCAGGTGGCTGTACTCTCTACCATTAAGTGAAATGTTCCTTTATACATGCATCTACTCTCACAATATTTTTCCAGATTCAGAAAGGAAAGGACTCCTTACTTGTTTAGAGCTAATTCAACTTGTTTTTATCTTTTTCACCCCTCTTTCCACTGAAGCCATACTTCATCTATTGTTCTCTCTTTTTTCATAGATTCTCAGACTGACCCTCTCAACTGTCTCCTTTATCTTTCCTCTAAACATGCTGAAATCATTTCTATATTAATGAAAAGAAATCCTCTTTGAGTTCCAATTTTCGACCTACCTCTCTTACTGTTTCCAGCTAAACTCCTCAAAATAATAAGTGTCTTCAATTCTCACTTCTCCTGTAGGTGCTAACTCATTGTAATTAGCCCTCTGCCACCATTATACAAATGAAACGACTCCCGCTGAAATCACCATTGACTGCCAGTTTCAAAACCCTATAGATTTTCAGTTCTGACTTATCTTCTCTACATTATTTGATTAGTGCTGATTAATTCTTTCTTCTCAAAATTATTCAACTACTCTAACCTGTTATTCTCAGGTTGGACTCTCCCCTTGTTTATTTCATGCACATTGATAGTCACCAGAGTTCATCCTTGGACTTCTTTTCTTACCATATGCATTCTCTTGGGTGATTAGATCATTTTTCTGGAGTGAACTTGTCTTGGAAATTACAACCCTAGCACAGATCTCTTCTTTATTTAAGATTCAACTGTCCTATTGATCACTTCAGACAACTATTTGGGTATCCCATTAGCATCTAAAACTTAGTTTCAATATTAAACTCATTGTAATGTGTGAAACCTGCTGTTGCTTCTGTGATCCCTTTCTTGGCTAAGAGCATCACCTTGGCAACCCAAGGCAGAATCCATGTTATCCTAGACCTCTTCCTCTCCATCACCCCTATAACTAATAATTTACTAAAAATACTAGATTCTGTTACCTTAACAGCTTTTTTTATGTTAAAGCAAATACAAAATTTGTCATTCCACCTGTAAACACTTCAGTATGAATCTTTATCTGATAACGTTTTAAAAGAAACTATCGTGACATCACAATACCTAACAAAATAATTCCTTCATATCATCTAATACTTGGTCCTTGTTCATATTTCATTGACTGTCTTAGGTTATCTTTTCAAAGTTGGTTTGCCCGAATCAAAATCCAAACAACATTGTGTTATTCTATCTTTTACTTTATAACCGTCCCCCTCCTTTTTATCTTTAATGCTGTTGATTTATTGGAGAAACCAGGGCATGTGTCCTAAGAAATGATGTGACTGATCACTCTCTTGTTGTTGTTTGTTACATGTTCCTTCTATCCTCCTATCTCCTGTCAACTGGCTTGATGAAATTCAGTGTCAATTTTTTTTTAGGTAAGATTTTTTTAATATGTTAAGCTCTGTGAGTTTGTTCAGTAGGTTCAGGTGGTGTCACTGGGATCACTCCACTATAAAGTTCCCATCAAGTTTCACTCAGTGGTTTGAGCACACAATAATGAAGCCTCCTTAAATGTTTTTACTAAGGTTTGTATAACAGTACTGTTATAATTCTACCATTCATTCTGCATTTTTTAGCTGGAATTCTTCCACAGAGGATAACTTTTCCTCATAGCTTGTTTGACTGCCCTGAAATAGAATTCAATTCATGCAGAAAGACAAAAATACATGTTTTATTATTTTCCTAAGTTTATGAAAAAATGCAAAACCCTAAGCACAAAAGAGGATACAGATAATGCCAAATTGTTTTCAAAGTGCTTATACTAATTTGTATCCACCAGAAATACTATATAAATGCTGTAGTTAGCCTTCATCCTCACCAGTTCATGACATCAACACACTTCTTTTCCCACTGTGGTAAATTATAAGTGATCTCTCATTGTGGTTTTAATTTTCATTTCTGTAATTATTAATCAGATTGGGGATATTTTATCGGTTGTTCAGATTTCTTTTCTGTGAAGTACCTATTAAGACTTTTCCTCATTTTTTTCTACTGGTTATTTTTTTTTTACTGATGTATAGTCAGTTTGCAGTGTGTCAATTTCTGGTATACAGCATAATGTTTCAGTCATACACATACATACATATATATTCATTTTCATATTCTTTTTCATTATAATACTACAAGATATTGGATATAGTTCCCTGTGCAATGCAGAAACTTGTTTTTTATCTATTTTATATATAGTGGTTAATATTTGCAAATCTTGAGCTCCCAACTTGTCCCTTCCCACCGCTTTCCCTCACAGTAACCATAAGTTTATTTGTTCCTCCTTTTCTTGTAAATCGTAGGAGTTCTTTTTATTTTTTATTTTTTGAATATTGATAATCCTTTGCCTCTTCTATGTATTGAAAAATATCATCTTCCAGTGTGTAATTCTCCTTTCACTCCCTTTTCACTGACTTTTGATGGTCAGAAGTCAGAAGTTTTGATAGTTGGATTAATTCATTTTATTAATCTTTTCCTCAGAGATTTGCATTTTCTGTGTTTCATTTAAAAATCCTTACCTTTCTAGAGGTCATAAAGATATTGTCCTATAGAGTATTTTAGTTTTGTTTTTTATTTTATATCTTTAACCTACTTGAATTTAATACTGTATATGGTGGTTAAGTAAGACTCTCCTTTTTGTTTCTGTTTTCCATATGACTAAGAATTTGCCATAGCAACATTTATTGAAAAGTCCACTATCTCTCCTCTCACGTCTTCAACACCGTTTGTGTCAAAAGTTAAGTTCTGTATGTGTTGGTTTGTTTCTGGGCTTATTCCTTTGTTCCATTGGTCTCCTCTTAAAATAATAGAATCTTACTCATTTTTATATGTTCATAATAATTCATAATACAAAGAAAGGCAGTTTCTTCACCTTGGTTTTCTTTTTCAAGAGTATCTAAACTATGCTTGCCCTTTACTTTTCCATGTGCATTTTATTCAGCTTATAAAGCTCACACACAAATCATGGTGTAATTTTGATTGGAATTGCTTTCAGGTAATGACCAATGTATAGTTCATTGACATCTTTGTGATATTAAGTCTTCCATTTATTTATTTACATTTGCTTATGCCTTCTTTAATGTTTTTAAATAATATTTTATAATTTTCTCAATTAAGGATTTCATCATTTGTTCATTTTTCTCCTGGGTGCCAGATAATTTCTGATCTTTTAAGCAAAATTAGCTCTATTCCAATGATCCCACTGTATAATTTTTACCACATTGAGTTTAATTTAAGCCATTTATCAGAAGCAAACTTCAGATTTTTCACTCTAGAAATTTAATGCCAATAAATGACTTAAACAGTTGTTACTAGGGGAAAAATATCTTTGGTATCCATAGTTCCATACTTGGTTTGATTCAGAACTAAAACAAAGACTTTAAAATTAAAGGTTTCAGAAGATCTATTTTACTTATCTTTTGAAATGCTATTTTATTCTGTG